CTGACCACCCGATCCCGTTAGTTGCCTCTTACGACAATCATGGGTTACTGATGATCAATATTCTAACCCGGACCTTCACGGGTGAAGCTTCTAGAAGCATGGATGCGATATATACGGGACGGAAGATTGCTATGTCCATCGATAACCAAGTTTATCAATTTGGATGAAGTGTTGATGAAGTGTGATGAAGTGCTGGCATCGCTAGTTTATGTTGTGGGATGTTCAGTGTGATAGGTATATGACACGAGCGTGTGCCCTCCTACTTGTCTTGTGTATGTTCTTTTACATCACATTCAGCAATAGTCTAGCTGCATCACATAGGTCTGTAAATAATCGAGTCTAAACCAGTCAATCCAGGGTGAGACATCATGGGCATGGATCTATGCAACTTTGACAAACATTAACCGAGTCAGCGAGCCTGAAACCCGACCCATTGGTCAATCGCTTGCTGAACACCATTGTAATCCTATTACCACAAACATATAAAACGGATCCCTTTGACTTCAGTTTACCTGCTGTAAATGTCAAGATAGTTCTATTGCAAATAGAGTTTGTTAAAATATCCTAATGCCTCATTAAGAACCAGAAGCGAAAAACTTAATGTTATGAATGGCTTCCGGTAATCATCGGGACTCACCATAAGTGTCACATTTCAAGTATAGTACACACGGATCGTTAAAGCTACAACAATGATTCAACGTAGGGACGCGTGTAGAATTAAAGGTGGCAGTGACTTCAGTGAGTGAGTGAAATGGCCGCTTTGAACAGTATCGCAGTTGCGTTATCTAAATGTGGATTGGAAGCCCAAAATGATGCTAGTCTTTAGACGTTTGCCTCTTTGGTGAATCCTATGAGCACGGTGAGTGAGTGAGTGGGTGGGTGTGTTTTGAGTGAGTGAGTGAAATGACCGCTTTGAACAGTACTGCAGTTGTGTCACGGCGCGTTATCTAAATGTGGGATGAAAGCCCAAAGTGATGCCTGTCTTAGACGTTCGTCTCTTTGGTGAATCCTATGAGCTCGGGTATGGTCCAGACTGACCTAGAAATATAACCTACAACGTTATTCGAACCCACGATCATAGGTTACTGGATTGACCAAGGGATGCAACTCTACAGTGGCAGTGCTTTAAACGACTGCCCAACCAATGGCTCCAGCAACTGAAGATCCGGGTTCGATTCCCCACATGGTTACAATGTGTAAAGCCCATTTCTGGTGCCCATTTCAGTGATGTTGCTGGAATATTGCTGAAAGCTGAAACTGAAACTCATTCACTCATTCAAGTCTGGAATAGACAGTCAAGTGATTGACATCGCGAACATGGATCTACTTGGGACGCGATGACATTCATCAAGTTCGTCAGCTAATCTGTCCACACGATCCACGTTAGCTGCATCATGAGTTGACCGGATCCTCCTGGATCTTCACGGATTGAGTCAGTGTTGATTGAAGCCTCCGTCAGTAACCTCTGCATGTGTATTGTGGCATAATGTGCTTCGTAAGCGTAAGCGGTGATCTAGTCGGCCACCAATGCGCAGTTGGTGCATATTCACAGAAACTACCCAGCCGCATATGAGTTAAAGAAATGTTTGCAACAACGGTACTTTAGCTATATACAATCTATGAAGGCGCTTGTAGATAATTACAGCATGGTACATATTCTGGCACAGAAACTACCCAACTGTATTTGGGATGCAAGCGAGACATTTCAAAGGCGAGGTATTATTTATCATTATTATTGGTGTTATTATTCATTATTATTATTATTATTATTATTATTATTATTATTATATGATACTTATATAGCGCACATATCCAGGCAACTAGTGCTTGCTCAAGGCGCTGATATTTTTTTCCCTCGATCCATGGATGTCAATCTCAATGGCACATGGTATTATCAATCTCAACTCCCTGGGGAGTATACACCTCTTGCTGCCACTAGCCGCGCCGAGTTATTGTGGCTTTCTCACGCTTACGAGGTACCCATTCACAGCTGGGTGGACTGGGACACATAGTCACAGTATTTTGTCCAAGTTCACTGCACGTTGCTGTACCCGCAACTAGGTGTTTGCACGTATTCTTGTGGCCACCATCTAGTCATGTACCAACGGATTCGTGGGTTCTTTTAAGTGCACAGGGTTGTGTACTGTACACTAGGGGTTGTGACAACACCGAAAGAGTCTGCACACAAAGTTGACTCCAAGGTTTTTACACCCGGTCACAGGTGGGCTCGATCCCGACACCTCATCCTCGCTGGATCACTAGCCTGGCGCCTAAGCCAGCTCGCCCACCGCGCCCCCAATATGAATATGAGTTCCAGAAAGTTTCAGCAATGCCACTTTAGCTATATACAATCTATGAAGGCGGCTTGTAGATAATAACAGCATGGTACATATTCTGGCACAGAAACTACCCAACTGAATATGAGTTCCAGAAAGTTTCAGCAATGCCACTTTAGCTATATACAATCTATGAAGGCGGCTTGTAGATAATGACAGCATGAATTGAACGCCGTCGGGGAACAATGACACCCAATCAGCCAGATCACACATTGAAACAACCTTATCTTCATTAGTAAGCTCTTATTATAAGCACAGCTCCCGTGGACCTATTTGACCCGGAATCCCGAGGGCAAGTGAGAATATGCAGGCATGTATATATAATATATAGATGTAATAACAAACAGAGATCCAGTTTCCCCACCAGGCAGGTCCAAAGTGCAATGAAGGGTTAAAGCGTTTGTCAGACAGTGTGGATTTAGGTTTATTGTTTTGTTTTGCCACCGCAATCAGACATGATTCAGAAACCAGAGGATATCATTAATAGGCATGGAACATCCGCGTGACCATTTCCCGTCTAACTAACTCAGCCGTTTTTTGCCTGGAAGCTATGGCGGGTAATTGGACCAGGGTATTAAATATTATGGAATGGCGTCATAAGATAATCAAATAATCACGGTTAATCAAGAATGGTGTTGGACAGAGAAAGAATTCGAAATAGTTATCGACTAAAGGTGTTCAAAGACATATGGTCACATGACGTGTATTTACTGGAAGACATACAGAAATATACGTGAAGTCATTTGTCTGTGTATGCGTGTGTGCGTGAGGGAGAGAGAACGAGGAAGGATAGAGAAAGAGAGAGAGAAGACATTTTTACATTGATCGTAGTCGTGATCACATCCGTTTGGAAACAGCAGTAGGACTTCCGAAGTTGATTCATTGCGTGCCTTGATCCCTCCACGGTGACAGACGCTGCAAACGCAATCAGTTGATTGTCTGGTCCAGATTGGATTATTTACTAGCCTCTGACACTAAGAGTTCTTCATTAAACAACAAACAAAAGCTGCCGTGATAATTCTGGTGCCCTGTATCTGTTTGTTTCTTATACGTTTTCTGTGGAATATACACATGAAAAAACTATTGCATCAAATAGAAAAGCCTGTGTTTAATGAGGGACAGGGGCGGTGGGGTAGCCTAGTGGTTAAAGTGTTCGCTCGTCACGCCGAAGGCCCGGGTTTGATTTCCCACATTGGTACAATGTCTTAAGCCTATTTCTGGTGTCCCCCGCCGTGATATTGCTTGATATTGCTTAATGCAGCGTAAAACTAAACTCACTCACTCATGATCACTACTGATAAATTGTACCCATGTGGGGATTCGAACCCGGGTCTTCGGCGTGACGAGCCAACGCTTTAACCACTAGGCTACCCCACCGCCCCGTCTGTCTTGGAATGTTTTGCCATGTTTTGCCATTACAACCCGTGAAGATCCAGGGTTAGAATTGGTCTTCAGCCAACCATGCTTGTCGTAAGAGGCGACTAACGGGACTAGGTGGTCAGGCTCGCTGACATGGTTGACACAGGTCATCGTATCCCAATTGCGTAGATCAATACTCATGCTCAATCAGCGGATTGTCTGGTCCAGACTCGATTATTTACAGACTGCCGCCATATAGATGGAATATTGCTGATTGCGGCCATAAACAACAAACAAAACAAACTTTACTTACACAAACGCCATAAATGTGAAATACGATAAACTTAGCACAAGTGACATCATGCTGTAATTTAACATAGATACCCCACTCTGTCACTTTATACAGAGTCATCGTCGCCAGTTCCTCCTTGTATCTCCATCACGACTTACGTAGCAAAATAGACCATCTTTAATGTCCTTCGGTATGACACGGAAAGACGATCGTACCACTGACAGTCCGCTTTCTCTGCAAGCTCTCTGTCCACAGTACCTCGGTGCCCGACCAAAGTAAATGTGTCTTAATGTAAAATAATAATAAAACCATGAGTTATTTTCAGCAGTGACTGGGACAGTCCAAACCATTTTGCTGATACTGTGCAGTACTTCGCGGAAAAGAACGGTCGTTACATATTTATTGTCCTATATTCTACCAACAATGTTTTATACTAACATATTTTTCATATTTCAAATATGCCATCATAAATGCCGTGGATATTTACCGTTACTTGTTTAATGCTGAAGTTTGCGCTAAAATCGATTCCAATAATCTATGTCTGATAAAGGAAACGCCTGACAGCCTTTCCATTAATGTAACAGAGAAAACAGAATTGTAATTACAGGAAAACATTTGGAGAAATGCCTCAGAGCTGCAGACGAAATGTCAACAAAATATTAGAAACAAATAAAGAACTCTCTGGTGACGAAAACACATTGCATCTAGATATCAACATTCATCCACCAGACTGTTATTTAAGTTTTCAAATGGCGAATCCAGACTTATTTGTAAGTAGTATCTTGAATTAATATTAGATAAGAGAATGTTTTATGTTGTGACATTATTAAAGTAAGCCCTAGAATTTAGTCTGACATTTGGCATTGCAAATCTTTGATGTTGGAATAAAAAAGTACGGTTCATATTTAATGTAGGACCACACGCGGATGAACATTTTTTGTTATTGTTTAACGCCGCACTCAGCAATATTCCAGCAATATTCCAGCTATATAGCGGCAGTCTGTAAACAATCGAGTCTGGACCAGATAATCCAGTAATAAAAAGCATGAGCATCGATCTGCGCAACTTGGATACGAAGGCATCTGTCAAGCAAATCAGCGAGTTTGACCATCCGATAATGTTAAGTTGCCTCTTACAACAAGCACCCATTCTGGATGAATGTGATGCAACAAATGTTCACATTGATCTGAATACCTATCATAAATCCTGCCGTGTCCCTCGAGTGACCTGTTTCGTAACTTTTGACCAATATGTTTCATTTATGGTGCATGGCATTAAGCTTCATTATCCTGTAATCCCTACTGATGATGAAATTGTTAACATCCATGCCAGGATTATATAGCTATCCGTACACGCGGCCATTGTTGATGGAAGAACAGATAAGTGCAGTGTCCAAACGCACTGTAATGAAGGCGAAGTCTAATATATTCTGTGCCACTCTCTTAGTTATATCATCAGTATATTTTATTGCATTTGTAAAGTTTAGGTCAAAATTGTTTCCTATGTAAATTGAAACTGCATTAGGTACATCAGGATAAACAGTTATAAGTTATAAAGGACGTTCGAAATAAATAACCCAAAATTAGCAGCAGCTTTCCTTATGTTATTTGTTGTTCCAAGAAACCAGTATTCGGATTACTGATCAAATGTGTTCATGCAAACTGGATTCTTTCAGTGTCGCCGCTTTGAGGTCATGGTGTACAATCGGGCAAACGTAGCCATTATCTTGTTTGAGTGGCATTTTAGAAGTTGAGACGTACAATATAGAACAAGTTTTATGGATAACAACTTCTTTATTTCGGAACGTCGCACTCACGAAATAAAGAAGTTGTTATCCATATCCATAAAACTTGTTCTATATTGTAGCCATTATCATATTATGTCACATAGTGAATCGTTGGTTCGAACCCCTGTTTGCTCTGATGATGGTCTTTGTGCCAGCACTACACTACTTCCGGATTCGACCCGTGAAGATCAGGGTCAGAACTGGTCTTCAGCAACCCATCTTGAAGTACGACGAATTTGTTCGGGTGGTCAGTCTCGCTGATTTGGTTGAAATAATGTCATCGTATCCCAGTTACGAAGACCGATGGTCATGACGTCAATCATGGGTTGTCTGGTCCAGGCCGAGTGTGAGTGAGTGAGTTTGGTTTTACGCCGCACTCAGCAATATTCCAGCTAAATGGCGGCGGTCTGTAAATAATCGAGTTTGGACAAGACAATCCAGTGATCAACAGCAATCTACACAATAGGGAACCGATGGTCCAGACCGACGTCATACAGCAGGATATTGCAGAGTGAGGCGTTAAACAAACAACTTCCGTGTTCGTGGTTCTTGCCATAGTTCAAAAAGTCTATGGCTTCTGTTCCTTTGAGGTCTCCTCTCATCACATTGCTGCCTGCCCGCATTATAATTGAAATACTGTTCAAAGTAGCTTTAAACCCATCTAACTTACCCCGCAGACATCATACGCAGGTTCCCAGAGCAAAGGACAAAGCACATTATCTTCCCTTTTTGCCAGGAGTATTGTCTTTCGTCTTTAATCCAAAGGAGGCAGGCTTGACATTCCTTATCATTGTCTGAAGCTAGGAAGAGTTATCTTCCCTTTCTGACTACCAAATTAAGAACGAAAAAAAGAGAATTGGTGGTGGTGTGTGTGGTTTGGTGTGGGTGGGTGGGGTGGGGAAGCTTCTTATTGGCCCAATGTTCCGCCCGAACACATAAAATATGAGTTTGTGTGTTTTGGGGATTATGTTGCTCAAATATATATTTGACGGATCGAAGTGTCAGGACGGAAAAAAGAATTTTTGGTTTAATTCCTTTGTTTTTGAGTGTTCATTTTCAGCAAGAACGTTATTTGTAAAGAATCTGATATAATAAGTACACAATAGCCTGTCAAATGTAACGAAGAAAATACTGTGGAAAGAAAGATATGTTGATATATATGCCAATACCTGTTATTGATACCAAGTGGAGTTACTTTTTCGTTTCCCAAATACAGTTAAACACAAATAAGGTTATGGCCATTTATGATAAAACGTTCTGAAAAACGATGTAATCTTTTACATCATAACACATTGACTGAATTATGCAATATTTACCCAAATTTATCATCCAATACTGGTTTCCAGAGCAGATATTGCTTGTAGAAGATCAAGCAATATCTCCTAGATAAGTTTTGAGCCTATTGCTGATTGGTCAATCTTTTTTGGACTACTTTTATCTGTTCAGCTGTAAACAAAGATGGCTACCGCAATTAAGTCATTATTTGATCAAGATGTGTTCTAACAACATAAACGTTTACCTAATATGCCACCAAGAAATGGTGAAATTAAAGCATTGCAGAATTTAAAACAATAAATGATAGCACTACATTTTATGTGCTTGTTTTTTGACGAAACCAGAAATAGGCTTCACACATTGTACCCATATGGACACTCTACATGTATTGCACAAAGGCAAATCTCATACCTAAGTAATCATTGTATTCCACCAGTGCACAGCAAGATCCATTTGTATGCTGGAGTCGCATCGCCTTAAACTGACAAGGAAAATTGTTGCGGGTGACGTGAAACGGAAGATAACCTATACCTAATCCTGTTAAGTATTAGTGTACATTAATTGACGCTGACAGTCTTTTGTTGGACTAAATGCGATATGAATGTCCGTGGCTCAGATGTACGACTGATAAGGAAACGGATAGAACCATTTCCTCAGCATCCGCTTGAGGTACTGGTATTTGCCTAGGTTTATGTAAGACTATACGCTTTCAAAGAGTATGTGAAGAAACTTATCAGTTACTGACTAAAATATGGGCGATGCTGTTGTTTTAGAACATAACGCATTGTCATCCGTGATTTTCGTTCATTTGAAATGTATGTGACTGAAAGTAGTTTGTAAGTTCCGAAACACCACACGCTGAATATAGAGTAGTAGAAAAAGTATATGATGGCGCAACATCGGCCTCTTAGCTTCGACGAGAATCAAGCTGAATGATTGAACGTGGAAATTTCAAAATTAATTCCTGTCGTATTAGAAACATCGGAAGACATTTTATGTAAGTAGCAATGGACTAGAACCTATCCTTTCGACAAGTGCCATCGCAACCATTGCCATGTAAATGAAATATTCTCCAGTACCAAATTGCCATGCCGAGTAATGAAACATCTGAAATTATATTTCTTTCCCAAATAGAAATTATTCCGAAAATCTGACGAGAAATGATCGTCCTTCTCTTGAAATGTTCTTGTTGTGAATCACCACTCTAGTCTTATAAGCTCAGCAGTGTTTGCTGAAGCCGACATGTTGTGACCAAATTGCCCAGTGACATGCTCTCTGGGCAATCAGTATGAGAAAATTGCTTATCCATTAAGCGAAAATATTTCGCTTTCTTCTCTCTAATGCCATTTTGATATTGCATATTATCTCCACGAAAGCCTGTTGTCAGATCAAACTAAAAAGGATTATAAGTAAGCAGGGTCGTTTGATCGAGCATTCATAGACCTCTCCTACACGTGCCACATGTTATGCCTGCTGAGCGCCTATTTCCTTGAACCCCAAAGCTTGAATAGCGACTGAATTCCGTTGACAATTATGCACCAGTGACAAACTCCGCTTGCATTAAGCTCACTTTCGTTGCATTTTCTATTCCTTAGTTTCATTAAACCGTTCTTTAACTTAATCTCTGAACAAGGTTTTGCCAAATATATCTGCGATAATTGTGCTAATACAGACGTTGCTATTTTAGTATCACTGGTCGTGCACTGACAGCATATTGATTACAGGTAACTTCCATTACGGCATCTGTTTGCCATTATAGGTACACCCAAACCAAGAATACCTGTACCGGTGGAAGTTCAAAATGTCACATACTGTGTTTATTTAAAAGTACACTTTCAGCTTGTTTTGATCAAAACAGTGCGTGCTACATATGTCAAGCACAAAGCGTAGATTTAATTAGAGACTAAACAATTTACGGTACTTCATTATTCTTCAAGTCAGGTCCATATGACTCTATCGTGTTTTAGCGACCATATATTAAAAAAGTACATTCTTGGACTGACACGGACACTGACTACTATTAAGAAGTAGTATTGGTACATTTGGTGTAAGTTATTATATGTAATATCTCCCCGTGACCTGAATGAACACCACGAATGTCTGATTGCTTACATACCAATACAAGCGGTTCATAACTCTCTCTCTCTCTCTCTCTCTCTCTCTCTCTCTCTCTCTCTCTCTCTCTCTCTCTCGCTCTCTTCTCCCCCCTCTCTCTCTTTCTTTCTTTCTTTCTCTGAGTGGTGTATTGTGTGGGTGTGTGTGCGCGTGCATGTGTGGTGTGTGTGTCGGATACATAACAAAATTTAGATTATCTCTGGGTGTTATCGAAGGTGATGATTGTGCATAAGTCACTTGGTCAACTGCTTTTATAGCCATAAACCGTGCAACTTGCCTTGTCTTTGCTTAACGAACAGACATACGGGTCTTAAAACGACGGTAGACTCTGCTAGCCTCATCACTGAAAGCAACCACGTCGCTAGATCCACTTGTATGAGACCAGTGCTACGGGCATTCACACAGTCTTGCCACTTCCTCTTCCTCGCTTAGTGTTACTGAAACAAAATCTTACCATAAAATATGCGTTTTAGTGTCAGCATAAACACGATTTAAAGGCTAGCAATTATGAATATCGCCAATGGTTAATATGACGAATGTTGCTTCGTTAACTTGATGAAGTGGCTCCTTGGTTCTTTTACAAGCCTTTAAGCCATGCATCTTAGATTTCCGCTCTGTACAGAACCTTGCTATTAGAGAGGTTAAACTTCCGTTCATTTATGGAATTGAAACTAGAATTACACTGAGTTTCAATTTATCTTCTTTTTCTATGAGCAAGTAACGATTACAACACATTTCGAAAATCAAATGCTAGTAATTACCCTCAAACAACCTGAAGCAATTGTCAATCTAAAAATATCGAATTGCACATTTGATTACGTGTGTTCCTGAATATCCAATTCTCCAGTCACACAAACTATCGAAAACCATTCAGTTATCTTGTAACAAACCACACGTTAACCAGAGGCATTGTGAAGCATATCACAAATGCTCACTAGTAGTCTGATACTTCCACGAACAACGAGTCCTGCTGATGGTTTCGCTGGTAATATGAGATAACTGTATACGCAAGGAAAATTCGTTGTTCAACTAGAGTTGAAAATAAAATAACAACAGAAAAACATAATCAGGGTCTTGTATCTGCATCTGTCCTCGGAAGATCAAGTGATGACAACCACTGAATCTTGCGTTACAACAAAAATGGATGATTTATATTTCTTTTCTTTTATAAAACTACTTAAACATGCTACCGTTAGAGAAGGTTATTCTTATTACTTTCAGTAGTCCATTGACATGATAAACATTTTTTTTTGACATGTGACTTCATCGTAAAAGGGAGTCGACTGACAATTCCTCCGCGTTGAATGTATATTATAGAACATATGACAAAAGAAAGGTATTCATTGCAGGAACTTTATAATGATAAAACAATTCCTGTTCCTTTGCATTCGGGTATGGTATTTGTGTTTTGTTCTCACATCCAGCCAAGTTATTCTCTTACACGGATTCTCGCGTTTTTGTGCCAACCTGGGCTCAAAACTGCGAAAGCATTAACCTATTGTCAAGATTGTATAGAGTTGTTGCTTTGAAGGCGTGAAAAACAAATCGAAGCCAATGTGCTCGCTTCGTTGCCGATACGTTTTCATCTCACGTATAACGTACTTCCAGTTCCCATTGATCTGTGACGCCTAAGAATAGAGGAAATCTTTGAATTTTCCGGATCACAGGTTATGCCAAGTTTAGATACACTGACGGGCTATGGATTATGTTTCCGGAAAGTGTTTCTGTCCACGGATCCTTGCTTCCTGAGTCTGTAATCGAAGAACTTGGAGAGCCCAAAGCGTCAAACAATTCTTAAGAATGTAAATGCCAACCCTTTGACTGTTTCTTATTTTGCTTTCTGTTGTTGTAATAATTGAACAGTACTCTAAACCTTAGCAAACAAAATGTTCAAAGGACGACTGGTGTCGGAAGCTCGCTTGTGTTGTTCCTTTGTTCCTGTTGTTATGACAATATCGAGACTGTCTTGAGATACTCAAGATTCAATAAGTCACTTCCAGATATATTATTATCGACTTTTAGAGTACCTGCATGCCACAGATATCATTTTAGATCGAAGGTTTATTATGGGAGCTTCATGTTCTGGATTTCAACCCTTTGTTTTTCTAGTTCCATTCAGACGATGTTTGGTTCCATGTCAACTTAAAGCAAGAACATTTATAAGTGTGGTTCACATAAACCACCTCTCAATACCGGAAACACGACATAACTTGAGCACTTGTTTAGTTCACCTTAAATAATCAAGCATTACTCGTTTGTCGATTGATCCCCCGGGCGATTAACGGAATGGTAAATTAGGATAAAATATTAGCCGATAAATGCCATGCAAAGAGCCAACAGGACGGAAATCTCAAAAAACTTCATTTAGATGATATATTTTCATCGATTTCTAAAGAACAGTAAACCCCCTCTGTGCTGAGAAGCAGGATCAAACTACAACAAAATAGGATTACCACTCTCTACAATTGGCAACGTGTTAGTGGAAAGCTTATCATAGGAATACTGTTCGAGTGCCTTGGGGATAAGGTGAATATGCCCCCAACTGGCACGACTCTCCATCCCTCCATGCCTACAGAACAGAGATCAGCAAAGAATGGCAATTTGTGTTACTAGTTTCACTGAGCCACAGAGGCGAAAGGTCTCAAAGGAAACCATCAATCAACCGTATCAACAATATTTCATGCTCAATTGTTTGCGAAACTCTCCAAAATATGAATTAAATGTCTGTACGGACCAAACGTGCCTCACCACAGAGGACCCAAAGGTTTCGGGAATAAATCTCGCTGACCAATTGATACAGATTAATGCATTGGGCTTGTTATTTAAGACCCCGCTCTTGTCTGTACTAATGGCCAGTGGTTCAGAGCCCTGTCAAAGATGAACAATAGAGAAATTAGCGTGAGAAAAATGTATACAAACCAGCCCTCCCATAGGGAGTTGGGGCGAAGGTTCGTATATCGTTAATTTCGACCGTTGGACATTTTCCAGGATTAAAGCAGATCAGACATATCATACAGACTTTGGCGCCAAGATGACACCATGATGTATTGTGGATTGTAAAGGGGATGTCATGATGTAGCCAATGTCGTAAGCATTGTATACAGTTTGTGCACACGTTGAAAGCACTCAGCATTTGATATAACACCTGAATGTTAACATGGATTCTATTGAGATTGCATAGAAGGAACAGAACCAAACCTTCTGTTGCTCACGTTGATGTAGTTGATTACAGGCTGGCAAACGTGTCCAAATGTACGTATCAGCATTCAAATTGAACTCTATGGAATAGCAATAAATAATGATAAAGCGCGTTGGTGTTCAGGGCAGGCTTTCTGAAGGATGGTTACGCGTACCATAGAGACATTTTGTTCTGTGGTCGAGGTCCACCTTAAAGCAGTTTTTTAACAGTCTGAGAGTCAAGGAGCTAAAACAATTAGTGAAGTCCATGATAGCTTAATACAGTAACGCCTTTACCACACAATAGCCTACTGTTAAAAGGATATTGTATCCAGTTTTGTGGGGTTACAACACCGGATCATTTTTTTCGATGATCGTCTCCAAGGGTTTTGGGTGAAGTTGACACATTGTTTTCGATGTCGGGTAGTGAAATCTCTATTTTTAGGCACCATATATTCATTTTGTTTTTCACTTTGTCCATATTTTACACATCGGGTAGTGAAATCTCTATTTTTAGGCACCATGTATTCCTTTTGTGTTTTCACTTTGTGCATATTTTACGCATCGGGTAGAAAGGCAAATATAAGAAAGGACACTTTGTATATCCATTTAATTGTATTCACTTGTATGAGTTTCTGTTGCATCTTCACAGTTCGCAGAATCAAAGGTAGAGGTATTTGAAAAGAACTTAATTCTGTGATATATAAAACAAATTAATTCTGGGTTGGCATGAAATGTAATCAGTCCAACGGCATTGGAAATGTTAAGATCAACGATCTTGAATGGCATCAGACAACTCGGTTTCCTTCTTAATTAACCAATGACATATGAAGGAAAATCAAAAGACCACGATTTTCATCATTTCTATAACATCCCAATAACACGGAGTTATGTGTCAGGATGTATTTGTTAAATTTGATATGATCAGTATTTGTAATTATTGTGCTGAACTGATATTACTGTAATCCATACAAACAGTAATTACTCACCTTCATGTTGATATCTCATACTTTCATTACCAGTACGTCTATTAACGGGTTGATTGAAGTATATATCTTTATGACAGCATATGGTATTAAGCAGGCAGGCTGCCTAGTTAGATAATACATGTCATCTTTTCTATTAGCGAGGCTTTTTATCATCAAGGCGTTCTGTTGTCTCAGGACGACCAAAGCGATTGCCCAAAGCGTCAAAAGCAAGGGTCCCGATCCACAAAGCATCCGTAGCGTTAAGAGCTATCGTAACTGTATAATATAGCATTGGCTTACGAAGACCGTAGCGCTACGAACGCTTTGTGGATCGGGCCCTTGGTTGCGATTCCCATGGTTTCAACGTTGTCGTCCTGACAACGCTTGAATATTTCTAAAACAACCCAGAAGCACTTCGCTGACACATGTCATCGTATCCCAATTACGTAGATCAATGGTCACGCTGTTAATCGGTGGACTGACTGGTCCAGACTCGATTATATACAGACCACCGTCATATAGCTGGAATATTGGTGACAAACAAACAAACAAATTTTAAACAATAACAATTCTAGAAGCATATTCAGAGCGACTCAGAAATTCGAACCTTGCAAAGCGAATTGTGACGTTTGAGTCTTCTCGGGTGTTCCGTAGTCCACCGTCACGCCAAAGCTGAGCTGTGTCTCTCGCTGTGGGTACAACATGAAACGGTTATCTTCGACCTCCACTCCTTTACAGGGGTGGGTGTAACATCTTGTTCACCCATTCACTATGTAACAACTCATTGTTAGTTTACCCGCCAATGCTTCACTTGAAATCTGTTAAAACGGCTGGAAACCCTATTAAACCAATCCTCGAACAACCGTTCTTTGCTGGAGATTGCAAATGGAAGTTAAGCTCTGTTAATACGCACTTTTGTGATAACAAAGCAAAGTATAAAAATATTACTGCATTCTATGTTTTCTAATGATTTATCACCATTGATTGTAATTTGAGAGGGAATTAAATATACATGTTTTTGTTTAAATTTCAGGATCCTGCTGAGCCCATAAAACAAACAGAACGACTCACGAGGGAACACAAACGAGATATTACCAGTGACATCCGTCAAGTATTATTATACATAGGGTGAGTTAAGTGGTGCTTAATCCTTCATTATAGGATCTTACAGCCGATTACAGCGGATATCACTGAGAAAAGAACGGATATCACGGGGAAAATAAATACACAAAACCCACAAAAGTAAAGCATATTTTACTGATATTACACGAAATCTGTCAAACAAAACTAATTCCGTTTTACACATGCTGCGCTCAATGATTCTCAATAAAGAATAGACATGTTGGATAAGTCTATGGGGATTCGAGTTAGGTAGCTGCTAGTGTTCGCCTCAGGGAAGTTACAATTTCTCTCTGATCGTCGTTACGGGTTCATGATAGGGTAAGTTTACTAATAGAACAGTATAGAATTACAAATTTGAAATGATGTATTATTGAGGATTAGGGACTGTAATGAAAGTGTGCGCTCGTCAAGCCAAGGACATGGTACCGATTAAATGTGTACAGTGTGTGAAGCCCAGTCTTATTGTTCCTTTTGGGATGTAGCCCATCATTGTTGAACCCTGCCAAAAGAAATTGAAGCTCCATTTACCAATTGTTTTTAAAAAAAATAAATCATTTCAACATTTTGGGTAATATCATGAATGGCCATGGTTTTGATAGTTAATCATAACATATAGTTATCGTACAATGGACAGCTAAGAATGATTATGATTATTAAAGGTGTTTTCTCATTATATTTCATTATCTACCATTAATACATGGCACATACGTTATGTGAAGAAAATCGACTTTTGTGTATTTATCAGTATTTATGTATTGTCCGAGTACTGTGGTGAGAACTATTGTTTAACAAACACATCTACTTCTGTGTTTAATCTCTTTTGACACTATGGCATATGGTGCCGCCACTTTATTGATAATTATTGGTGGAACATACGGTTCTCGTACAAACAAAGTGTACATTGAAACATACGACAATGGCAGGACGGCCTGAAACTGTTTCCACAGTTCCAGCCGTTATCGATTGGAAGGTTCAATACTTATCACAACCCAGTGCTGCATTAAAACGACAGAGGGTATTCTTAGACAAGATCTGCGACTCATCCTGAAGATCTCTCCCAAGAGGCTTATGTGAGTCGGAAGAGGCTCACCAAACAGTCGAGCTGCTATGAATGATATTCATTTATAGAAAGTGAATTAAGGGAGATGTGACTTTTATCATCATGAATTGAAAGCACCCACGCGAAAACTCACGAAACCTAGAAATACACGTGTTCTACAAAGCTGTAATGTGATTAAATACTTGACAGATAGGGGCGTGAGTGAGTATGGTTTTACGCCGCTATTACTTGGTTAGTTGGTTTGTTTTTTGACGCCGCACTCAGCAATGTTACAGCTATATGGCAGCGGGCTGAAAAAATAATTGAGTCTGGACCAGGCAATCCAGTGAACAACATCATGAACATCGTTCCACGCAACTGGGATACGATGAAATGTGTCAACCAAGTCAGCGAGCCTGACCACCCGATCCTGTTAGTCGCCTCTTACGACAAGCATGGGTTGCTGAAGATCAATTCTAACCCGGATCTTCACGGAAACTTAATTTCACATTATGTGCACTTTTTGGGAACCGTACCTAGGCTTCGGATTGACGAAAGTGGACAGGTCGTGCAAGACGCCGCAATTGTTACACAGTTGCGAACCTTGCACAAACCAGAAACACAGTTTTGTCCTGAACATGTATAGATTTGTCATCTCACTCGTCCTAGTAAATGAGTCAGCCCTCTCAAGTTCGGCTTTCTTCAAGCACTTAAATCCTCTAAAAACTGTTAAAGGAGTCGTCAACATAGCCTCACTCATAGACTTCTTCTCACGCAATCACATACCTGATATTCCTATTGCACCCACACCTCGTGAACTTTTAATCACTAAACTATTTCACCGGCATCCGATTTAACAAAGCATGTGAGTGAGTATGGCTTTACGCCGCTTTCTGCAATATTCCTGCATATCACAGAGGGTACACCCAAAGTTGACTTCACACAATGTACCAGCATGGGGAATGGAACCCGGGTCATCAGCGTGACAAGCGGACGCGGACGAGCTAGCCACTTAGCTACCCACTCACAACCATGTCACGATTAAATGATCCACGTACGAATAAGCCCACAGCAGCTTGTAGTTGGTCGCGACTCATATGATCAGATTGTGAAGCATAGTTCACTGCGTGTCCACCTGTGGAGATCTTGGTTAAAATTTGTCTTCAGCAACCCATTCTTGTCGTAAAGGGCTACGAACGGGATCGGTGGTCACTGACTTCGTTGACATGCCATTGTAGATCTATGCTGATGCTGTTGGTCACTGGATTGTGTTGTCCAGACTCGATTTACAGACGGCCGCCATATAGCTGGAATATTGCTGAGTGCTTAAAAAACAAACAAACACACAATTGAGTGCCATCTTCCACCTACGACTTGGGACGTTGCTCATGACATTAATCACTTTCGATCATGTGGATTGCTATATGGTTCGGCTAGGAACTACTCAGTTTTTGTCCCTCAGCCACCACCCCTCCCGTCGACCTCGCACCTGTCTGATGTTGATACAGTTGCTGGTCATGAATGTGAACATTCTAGTTCTTCAACGATGTTATATGTTTATGTCAAATATCCCAGGTATGCGCGTATTTCTAGTAAACTATGCCCTAGTGCCATTTTCCCAGGGATAAAATGAAACTCAAAACCATAAACCAAACTACTGGAAAAAGCGACATGACACCATCATTTTGACCTTTTTTGAAAACAAATATTCATGGGTGATCAAAGAGCAGACAAGGTCATCGTCATTAGTTGAAATATTTTAAATTATGTCTAGACAGTACACCCCATTTGCACTGTAAAAAACATGTTGTAAGTGTGAGTCATGATGATTGTATGTCTTCTTATGTGTAGACATAATGGCATCACGTTATGTGACAACTTGAGCGTTATGCTACATCGAGCTTATTCCAAACGACTTTTTCTCGTTTGGATAGATGCAAAATTAATTTTACAAATATCAACCTCATTTCCTGACTGCTCGTCAGTGTATCCATCAAATGATTAAAATAAAATAGTGTGAGTGAGTGAGTTTAGTTTTACGCCACACTCAGCAATATTCCAGCTATATGGCGGCGGTCTGTAAATAATCGAGTCTGGACCAGACAATCCAGTGATCAACAGCATGAGCATCAGCCTACGCAATTGGGATCCGATGAATCGCATGATGAGGCTCTGTGACATGTAAGTGTGCCACAATGGCGCGAATCGTTGCTCTAAGTGTGAGTCAGTGTCGAATCCGGTCTTGACTCAGTTACTTTTCAGGCCGCCTTAATATTGCTAAAATATTGCTGGAATATCACTGAGGCGGCTTAACAACCTTCACCCACCCACAGAGAGAAAGTGACATTCTGCTATATGATAATGAACGCGTTGTCATACAGACCCTGAAGCAAATATATCCAAGAAATCCCACGCAAGTCTAGAAAATGTGGCAAGTCTAGATTTCCACAGCTGAAAATGAAGAGAATCTCAGGGCTCCTTTTCGTTATATTATTTTTTTCACTTTGAGCTTTTTTCTGTAAAATATGTTCATTTCAGAGACTAGTTGTTAGTCTAGTTTCCACATGAAAAAGGCAATGATAAAAGTACGCCATACATTTGTCCATGGATACGTGTGTATTTAAATCATGTATGTTGACGTCAAACACTTTTTTCCCCGTGATGATTTGTGAAACTTGCCGACGAAACTGGAACAAACAAATACAACCTTAAACATTTCGTAATATTAATCTACTTATAGATAGGTTTTCAAGTAAGTCAGTCATGATATATTTCCTAACCATACATCGTTCCTTGAACATGATCTGTGAAATCCCATGTAGGCGGAATAATGAGCTTATAACGTCAGTATCATATTATCTTCACGATTACAAGCTTAATGTACTCGTTACTTGCCCAGACTCATACATTCACAAACAAGACTACAATCTCCTACGTAGGTCAAATGACGGAAGTCGGATATAAATAACGACTGTATATGGTCCTTGAGATTAATTATATTGTCGCTGTGGACACAACTAGCTATAAACACCATACTTAATCCTTCAATAGTAAGGTTAGCACATAATCCGCAGATGAAGAATTTCCCATGTACAGCATGGTGTTCTGTGAGTTTTCGGTATTAATGGGTGTCACTGTTGTATAAAGTATTTGCCTTTACCAAACGTCCGCTAAATAGCATAATCACTTCGCAATAAAGCAGCGAGCGATCCATATATAGTCCCAGACGTTTATATCAAGATGAGAGACACTTGTTGCTATAGACGCCCGTCCCGATGTAATTTAACGATTATTGTTGAAGCCATGATAACGCGCCTATTTAACATAGCATTCTCATAGCCCGACACAATTTCGTATGCTCGTGTTAACATAATGTATTGTTTAAGACACCACCACTGTGCATATTTCCAGAGGTGGAAAATGTCCAATTGTAACACCGTGTCAAATGGAGTTCGATGCATTTCAACATGGATCCTCTGTTACAGCGTTTGTTCACTTTAACACTTGATTTGCCTTCGCATGTGTTTGTGACGATGTCAATATTTCGTGAATAAGTGGTTTCAATACTGGTTGATATTGATTTGTGAACACATGGAGATGCTGTAGTCGGAGCTACACAAGGCTAAACATTAACCAAAATTGAAATCTGATGACCAGAACCGACTGTTTTTTATAATTCGAATAAATGTCAATGTCAATGAAGTTAATGTCATGCTTATCTAACTCTCAGCCTTGAGTTTTCGAGTGATTATGCTTTCATAGTAATATACAATTTACATCACGGCGCGAGTCCATCGCATTTTAACTACGATGGAAAATCCCGAGTCTTCAAATTGACGGGCTTCACCCTACCCCGACCCTACCACCATCCTCCCCACCCTCTACACCCCTCCCCCAGTATGTTATGTCCTCTTTGACCAATGTAACTGGGAGGAGAGACTGGGTACCTCGCATTATACTGTAACAAATAGACGTATATGTAAATGTACATAAGTAAAAAATGTAAAATATAATATTTCTAAATGCTATTTTTTAAAAAAAAATTAAATTTGTGAGAAAACTCATCTAACAGTGGGTCTTTATTTATCAGACATCCATGAACCCAGGCTAAAAAACTAAGTTTCGTGTCGCGCCTCTCTGTCGTGATAACACGCTGGTGAGGGTGTAATCAATTCTTGCACGTAAATGTCGAGGCTCAAATGGATATTATCTTAAGCTGCATTCTTTTGTTAAGTCTTTTGTTAAGTCAAGACTTGCTCTTCTGCATTTCTCATAATAGTATGGTATCCAAGTGATAAGAATCTTCTCGCGGTGTTATGTCTTCATGGTTGTCGTATGCAGTTTTATATTCTTGACGTCCAATGCAAACCATTGTCATAAGCTCAAATAGCAACCTCCTTGGAAATGCATTGCTGTGAGGTATTGTTTTGCAAAGAAGATAACGGTACTGTTTATTGTCTGGTGTCACGTTGGTGATGAACTTGAACGAACGAATGGTTGATATTACTAGCAATGTCTGTCCCAGCCCATCCTGTATTGTCAAAGCCTTAAATGAAGCAAGTCTAGGGTTTCCTCAGGTTCAGACAACAAATCCCACTTCACCAGGGCTCATTAAAAAGTCAAAAGGTTGTTTCTCTTCTATCAAAATTAGATATGTTCAGAGACTAGGAGTCAGTCTACATTTAGCCAAATAGGTTCCGTAATATTAAGATATGTACGTTAGGGTGTGTGAGTTTGATGTATATCGCTCTGAGTAGTATTTCCGTTATAATGTGTCCGTACGATGTGGGGGAAAAGACGTACTTATAGTATGACCAGAAATTATTAAGAATTTTAGGAAATTGGATTTCTAGTATAAACGAGCTTGACCAGCTATCAAGTGTTTGGTTTCCTTCAAGAGAGACAACTCCGTTAATCCTTTTTCATTAGTTCGTGAAGAGTTATCCCCCTTTGTTTACTTGCTAGCAGACGACATTTTCAGTAATCCTCTGTATGGATGATTTAGAGAAGAGGAAGTTGATTTTAGAGTATTATAACAAGGGACATCAGATCAGCTAAAGTGATTTCAAGTAGATCAGGCATCCCTTTGTCCACTGTTCATCGTGTTTTATAAAATATTGCAAATGGATATCGCATTGAGCACCAGGGAGGCGCAGGTAGGCCTAGAAAATCGACTGTCAGTGACAAGGAGGCGGTATTGTTTCTAAAAACAAACGAAGGAGTTTAGAAACTTAAGGCTGGATATGATTGATAGAGGAACTGTGGTTGTCTGTAAGGAGACAATTAGAACTGAGCTGCATGCAATGAGTTGGTAGAAAACCATGAACAGAAAAAAGTGAAGGTTGAACTGGTGCTTACAGCATAGACATTTTAACTGGGCAATGTGATTTTCTCAGATGAAAGTTCTGTGTGGCTGTTTCCTAATACACTAAAATTCTGGACCAAACAAACTGAAAAACCTTTGTATCAGCGCCTCAAAGTACAGTCCGAAATTTAACGTGTGGGGTGGCATATCTGTGTTAGGGGCAACGTCCCTCTGTGTATTTGAAGTGAATATGAACAGTGAGCGGTACACAGATATTCTTGAGGGACATTTACTTCCATCTGCTCACGTGTTCTATGGAAATGTTTGGATTTTCCAGCATTCACAAGTCTGGTTTCGGACCCAAAATATGACATTATTAGATTGGTCAAGCTATAGCCCTGACCTAAATCCAATAGAAAAAGTTTGGGGACTTATGAAGGAAAGTGTCAATAAGAAAAATCTGACAAATATTGCTGCAATGAAAGAAGAGGTGGTCCGATATTGGGACAGCATGGACCACGACTTTCTAACTTCTTTGATCAGTAGTATGCCCCGCCGCATTGAAGCCTGCATTACTGCCCATGGTGACTTGACAAAATACTAACTGTTCACCTGTCTTTGCATCTGGAGTTATGTTCTGCTAATATTCACATGTAAAACGTGAGTCATGAGTGAATTTGTAAAAAAGAATTACAATCTGTTAATTCTCAATAATTTCTGGTTGTACTGTAATACAAGCCTTATGACTGCACTGCTTAATCCATGAAATCCATGAGGTGAGGTGAGGTGAAATTGGGTTTTACGTCGTGCTTGAGAATATTTCGCTCATATGACGACGTGCATGCGTGTGTATGTGTATGTGCGGCTGCTTGTACTAGCTTAGACTTAAGCTGGTTTTATAGTGCTGGCCCACTGAGATACCATGCCGCAGTGAAGCATGGATACCCCACTCAGACACATTATACTGACTCCGAGCCGACCAGTCCTTGTTGTACCCATTAATGCGGAGCGCCAGGCAGGGACCAACAAGTACCATATTTTAACGTCTTTTGGTATGACGCGGTCGGGGATCGAACCCGCGACCTTCCGCTCCCCGGGCGGACGCTCTAACCACTACACCACGGAGGCGGTCGAAATCAATGAGCATGGGAGGAATGGTGCTGACCAACAAAGAAACATGCAAGTGAGTGAGTGAGTGACTTTGGATTGGTTGTTGTTTAACGCCGCACTCAGCAAAATTCCAGCTATATGACGGCGATCTGTAAATAATCGAGTCTGGACCAGGCAATCCAGTGATCAACATCATGAACATCGTTCTACGCAATTGGGATATGATGACATGTGTCAACCAAGTCAGCGAGCCTGACCACCCCATCCCGTTAGTTGCCTCTTACGACAAGCATGGGTGGCTGAAGACCAATTCTAACCCGGATCTGAGTGAGTGAGTGAGTGAGTGAGTATGGTTCTACGAGTGAGTGAGTTGTTGTTTTTTTTATCGTGGTACACCAGTGCCGAAAGAAAGAACAATGTTAATGACTCGCCGAAGTAGCTTACATACCGGCGACGTTTTATGTTGGTGCTGCAAGCGCTTAGCTGTACAACGTATGTAGACATTCCAAATGGAAGATAAATTATGCACTCCAAAGGATAATATCGCAAGGTGATACATCATATATGATAAGCATACCTGTTGTCTTTATTCCATTAACACGCTACGAAAATAGTCATGTAACCAGCACGATTCCATCTCATGTTAAGTGGATTCGTTACACGTATGATATAAGTCATTAGGCCAATAAGCGGATTCAGCAAGTGGTGTCAAACGTCTCCAGGACTTCATCAATCAGGGGCATCGTTTTGAACTGGGAACAATTATTGAATAATGGTCGACTGTCATAAAATGAGGCAGGGTTCGGAGGCAACCTATACGTCATTAGTGTAACCATGTGCTTATATAAATCGCTAAAAATTCGGCAATTACGTGTCTACTTGCTGTAAGACATTGTAATCGATTGTAAGTAACTACCGCAGTTAAGCAACGAGTTGGAATAACCCTTTGAACAATATTCATTTAATCATTTTTGCCATCGCGAGGCAACTCACATGCAGCCAGGGTCGTTCATCTCCAGCTCTGCTTTATCCTAATATATGGCATATTCATTGTGGAATGCGAATTTATCCTCTTCTTTACAGCCTCCCAAGCAGTTGTGATTGTCGTTCTCCACTGTGACGTAATAAGTCACATGTTACGTTGAGTCGTGTAGTCTTTGGATAACGTTTGATGGTTATCTCATAAAAATGTGAAAGGTTTACGAAACCCTGAAACATAGATGACAAATGAGTGATCAGAGTTAATCTTAGATTATACTATGGATTACGATTCAGCGATAGGGATACATCTCTGAATATAACAATGATTGAAGGTTACTTTCAGCAAACCATAGGATGTATGTGAAAGAGGATATATGAACAAAGTTAAGGCAACAATCTTAATGGCCCGATGTACTATTGTCAATGGAGCATTTCTCTTCCACCGTTGACTATAAAACACATTGTGTGTTAACGAAACGTAGGAAAATACATAGATCAGCGTTTCTTCTTCAAGCATCAAACATCTCCGTTCCTTAACATTTTACTTTGTGATGGACGAGACACTATAGAACCAAAAAACGTCAAAATATGAGAATCAACGAGTTCGTGATTCAATCATTTCATTTTGCGGATGATCGAACATTGAAACGCTTCTAAGGCGATATCTGATTACAAAGGGTTTCTGTATGATCCTTTTCTAAAGGTTAATATGGTCTTGAACTATTCACTGAAGTATGACGCATGGATGGCATTTTTCTACAAGCTACATGTTATCTAAAAAATTCTTCAGTTGTATGCTCTTTTAACAGCATGGTAAGATTGTACTTGTATATTCACAAATATTTAATGGGGGCATGATGGGCGAGCTGTCTAAGGTGCCGCGCTAGTAAGCGAAAGGTGCCTGGATCGATCCCCACTTGTGACCGGGTGTAAAAATCTTGGAGCTAACATTACTTGCAGGCTCTTTCAGTGTTGTCACAACCCCTAGTGTGCAGTACACAACGATGTGCACTTAAAATAACCCACTTAAACGATGGTAGGTGACCAGATGGTGGACACACGAACACGTGCAGACACCTAGTTGCGGGTATAGTAACGTGTAGTTTCATTATACAAAATACTGCGATTGTGTTCCCCAGCTGCAAATGGGTACCTTGTGAGGATGAGACTGTGTGATAACTCGCTGAGCCCCAGGGAGTTGAAATGGGCTAAAGAATACCAGAAAAAAAAGTCATCCGTTGATCAAGGGAACACTCAAGCGCCTTGAGCATGTACTAGTTGCGTGGATATGTGCGCTATATAAACAGCCTATAATCATCATCATTAACACTTACTTACGAAACAGTTTAAGTTGTAAATAGTCTTTGCATCTAATGTAGCTTGATTTCACGCATACCAACTTTCCTAAACCAAAGAACTAAGGGAAGTGAAATTATGAACTGGCAACCGGGTGTAATAGGTCATATTTTCGCAATGTGTTTTTTATGTCTAATATCATATTCTACCACAGGGATGTTTACTCAAACACACCTTTTAACCGCAAAAAAAGTCTAGTGGCTTCCGGTTTGAAGTATGCCGCTCCATTTCAAACATTCCCTGCTGTTTCAGTAAATGTTCATACAAGGAGCGCTGGGGCTCACGGCTGCAATGACAATAGCGCGCTTATCTAGGTGAAAGGTTAAGACGGTGAGTTCTGCGTAGGGAATGATATACCCTCGTGTGAATATTCGCTGTGCAGAGTATCTGGGATTATTCATTGATCAACGTGTTTAGGCGTGGGACAAGACAATCGCCTGTAGGAGAGACACTGTGTTTTGTACAGGTAAGGTCGACGCAACCTGTTTTGTTCTTTTGTTCAGGTGAACACTTGACTTGCCTTTACGCGTGTTTGTGACGGGACAATACACGATCAACTTTTAAAGAGCACCTTGTGTTATCATTGTTTTAGTGTGTTTCATGAGTATAACGTCGGTGCAATGACTATGTTAAACTATATGTTAAACACATGCTTATGATATTGTCTGAATCATGCAACAGAGTCTGCCTTTAGTACAGGCATAGTATGGTTATCGAAAAGATTTGTTGCTTTTTTGTATTTGTACTTTTATCAAAATATATTATACATTTCACATTTTTATATAATCGAATTGATGATAACTAATTAAATGATGATAAAGTAATTTGGACGACATTTAACAGAAAATGCTGAACTTGTCATACCCAAACAGTGTTTGTCATTCAAGAATACAGGGTAGCCGTGACATTGTTAGTTGCTCTGTTTCACACAGGACCGTACGTTAATTTCATACCGCTGTTACTGCAGTACCTGGTGATCGATTAAGTCCATACTGTGACTAGACACACCATAACGTCATGTAGTTAATCATGTATGCTGAAAGACTGTTAAGCCAATACGTGTGGCCTCCCTCACGGTTTGGTAGTGTCGTGGTTACAGTGTTTGCTCGACACGCCAAACCTCTGGGTTCGATTCTACACATTGGTGATGAGTGAAGCTATTTATGTTTTACTATCTGGCTGGAGTATTGCTAAAATATTACTTAATCTGTACTCACTCAAACACACGTGTTTTGCACGCACTCTTTGAAAAGGAAGAATGCGTTGCTAATGGACACCAGAACTAAAGCGTTTAGTACATTGCCGTTAATCAAGAATTAACTCTTACAAAATAATGCCACCAGGTAACGTCCTTTGTATATATGAAGGCTTGCCTCACAGGGATTACCCGAAAGGGGATTTGTTTCGGTCCAACGATGTTTTTGGAATATAAATACATATTTAATGTGTGGAAATGGTAACCCAACTATTGAACTGTTGCATTTATCATGTGCGGCTGTCAGAAATTAGAGCTTTTTTCACAACCAATTTCTCTTGTTTTTATAACAAATAATGCGTCCTTGAATTCAGTATATTTTATAAAGTAATTGACACGTTTCTAATGCTGATGAATCTGTTTCTGACTGACTGACTGAGTTTGGTTTTACGCCGCTTTTAGCAATATTCCAGCAACATCACAGAGGGCGACGCCAGAAATGTGCATCTGTTTCTGTGTTGTATAGAGCTGATGTAGCAATGCTGATTAACCGTTGTAGCAATAACGTTACATGGTGTTGCAATGCACCAGTACGTCTTGCAATTGTGTAACACTTGAAGTTCTTCACGACGCAAGACGGATCATGAAATCATTTATCTCCAACAGATAGCTAGTTAATAGTGAAGCAATAGCGGGAAGTTTACAGAGAGCACGATGAAGATAGCTCCAAGTGTAACGGCATCTCCTGTCCTAACTTGCCTCACATGTAGAGTTAAAGGTCGCGATATCACCGCATGAGTCTTGCCGCTATCATTCGGTAATGTTTACACAACTAATGTCGGGGTCTGATAGCCTGACTGAATATTTTGCTTGTCTCACGGTGTAACGGGTAGTTTAAAACAATCGCACCCCGCAGATATTCGGTCAGCTTTCAACTGAGTTTAGTTGTATCAAGAGCGTGCTTAACATGAAATGGGCCGTGTGCTCATTGCAGTAAGTCGTTCGCTCGTCACGCCGAAAACCCCGGGTTCGATTCACTACATTGGTACAATGTGAAGCCCATTTCTGGTGTCCTCTACGGTGAGGCTGTTGGAATATAGCTAAAAGCAGCGTAAAACTCACTCACTCACTTACTATTGCAGTAAGTTACAACTCCTAACATTAATAGAAAAAACGCATTTCAAAACAATCTGTACAGTCAGTATTGATCATTTGTGGTAAAAATTGAGATCTTTCATGATTTTTTCTTTTTGTATAAACAAATCAAATCAATCTGAGCAAAAGGGTAATAAAAATCACTTAAGTGAGCGTTTCTTCGTGAAAGGATGACGCATAGAAGCTGATGGTATTTCAATATAGTCATTTAGTAGTAATCACGTAATATCAAACCCGTTCACCTAGAAATAACTATCATAATTACCTCACTATAAATCTTAAAAACAACTATTTTGGTATTCATTACATACAGTAATTTTGTTTTGAACATACTTTTGTGTTGTATAAAATGACAACGTTGCAAATGACCATATGACATTTGTGCAATGCAATTGTTTTGTCCTCTCAAGGGATAACCTATCTAAGGATTGCATCATCTTCAATCAGTTTAAGTTCTGATCCAAGAACCAACCATGATCTTATGTTCATGACATTTTATATTCATGTGTTCAAAAGATTGGTAAAGGAGTGACGTCATTCTCAATGTGGTCCAAAAGTAGACAATATGTACTCAT